GTGATAGTCAAGCACAAAGCTAGCCGTATAAACACATCCGTGGCACATACGTAACGTCAGAAGGGTAGCTGAAGTTGCTTCCGGTAGTAGTCGAAGGTTAAATCTTTGATATCCCAAGTATTGGTAAAGTGCAACGCGACGTCACATCTTAACAACTGCGAAAATCTATCAATTAAATACATACAACAAAGTGAATCTATTTAACCGTAGAGTTCGCGTAACGCCTCAATACACCACAATAATATCTTCTCATCCAACTACTCATCTCATCCATCCACGTGCATGATTACACGAAAATTTTTCGATTGGGGGAAAATTACATCATTAGAGAGTTATAAGAGAGTTTTAGATCCGAGTTTACCGCGAACCTCTAACCGTTGGAGGTCACGTGACAAGTCGTTCGCGTCACGTTTGAGGTTTACGACGTGCGTTTTCAACGTGGGGAGGTAGGTTTTCACGTATGTCATTTACCTGAAAGCTTTTAGCGTATAATTTTTGTTTTATCCCACGTAACGACACAAAAATCTTGTAGATCAAGTCTTTATCCATTAACAGAGGCACAAATTCGGGCGAAATGGCTAAATTTGACAAATCCTATTGGATTTTGAAAACAAGTGCCATTCATGGCTGCTGATTCAAAATGGGGGCCGTAAATTTGCGAGAAGAACTAATGTAAGAATTTACAGCTCTTTGCTGCTAGATAACCCAGTGTTACCGTAAATTTCTTTTATTTCACTGATTGATATTTCTTCTATTTCTAAATGAAAATAAACCTAGAATGGCTTCTTTAATCCACCACCAATCTAAATCGAATAATGTTTGAACGTCGAACCGCAAACGGGTAACCGCAAACCGCGGTTAGAGGTGCGCGGTAAACTCGGATCTAAAACTCTCTATAGATCCGAGTTTACCGCGAACCTCTAACCGCTGGAGGTCACGTGACAAGCCGTTCGCATCACGTTTGAGGTTTACGACGTGCGTCTTCAACGTGGAGGGGTAGACTTTCACGTATGTCATTTACCTGAAAGCTTTTAGCGTATAATTCTTTTTTTATCCCACGTAATGATACAAAAATCTTGTGGAGCAAGTCTTTATCCATTAACAGAGGCACAAATTCGGTCGAAATGCTTAATTTGATAAATCCTATTGAATCTTGAAAACCAGTGCCATTCATAGCTGCTAATTCAAAATGGCGGCCGTAAATTTGCAAGAAGAACTAACGTAAGAATTTACAGCTCTTTGCTGCTAGATAACCCAGTGTTACTGTAAATTTCTTTTGTTTTCACTGATTGATTTTTCTTCTATTTCTAAATGGAAAAATAAACCAAAATCCACTTCTTTAATCCACCGCCAATCTAAATCGAATTATGTTTGAACGTCGAGCCGCCAACGGGTAACCGCAAACCGCGGTTAGAGGTTCGCGGTAAACTTGGATCTAAAACTCTCTATTGTCAAAAACGTGTTCAACTTACATGCGTCATTTCAGTCATCGCCGAAAATAAACCGCATGCTCAACACGAGACTCATTTGCACACCACGAAGGTCGTCACGATTCTTTTCCCCAGTTTCCACAGTCTCCGCTTGGAACGCGTGGCCTACTATCTAGGGAAGAGTCCCCCTCAGCTCTGCTAAAGCAAGCTCGACTAATAAGTTAAACTCTCGCCTTACATCCTTCTAATGAGTTCAATACAGTGGATACTTAACTATAGATGAAAACATAGGTTTAGCCGATGTGGATAATTCTCGCTGGTTCACACGATTTTGCGTAAGCTAATCTAGGTTAAGGTCATTATTTTCTTGAAAACATAGGTTTAGCCGATAAGCTTAGGATATCTATAGCCTGCTAGTTTTATGTTAAGTCTCTACATAATATGTATTATTATATAGACTCGAGTGTTTTACTGGAAAATATACTACTCGTAAAATTCATAAAAACTACATCCGGGACCCAAGTGGTTTATTTTCCATAATCTCACAAGTGAGTTTATCGATGACGTAATTTCGGTAATTTCCCTCTATTATTTTATCAATGTCTTTTAGTCTATATAATAAAAAGAACATTACTGCGTTGCGCTCGTTCGTAAAATATTATTTTGCCCCCGAAAATAAAATTCATATCTTCGCGCCACCGTGTAATATCCTCTCTGTATACACGCTTTTAGTTAAGACTAGTCTAAGATTAAATTTTAGATAATATAAGATGAGTGCATAAGGGCTAGTCTAGGCGTAAGGTATTTATGTATTTACTTGAAAACATAAGTTTAGCCGATACGCTTAGGATATCTATAGCTTCCTAGTCTCTAGGTAAGATGTAGTTGATAAGACTAGTCTAAGATTAAGGTCATTTTGCATTTAAATTTTAGATAATATTAGATAAGTTCATAAGGTTTAAGTTTGCAAGCTAAGGCTCTAGGTTATTTTTAATAAAGGTATTGTTGACATTTGATGTACGTTTGTTCGTGGATGATCATATTTGCATGAAGGGGACTGGATTCTATAAGGAAGTCAAAATGGCGAACTCGATCGCGATGATTACTTTATCAGTTTATAGCAGGGGACGAAACATTTTTCCTCTCGATGAATGTAAAGTATTAGTGAGTCAGTGAGTCGAATGAGTCATGAATCATGCGTCAATGAGTCAGCGAGTCACAAAATAAAAGTTTCGGTGGAAACAATATTAAGCATTACTTTAACTTATTTTGTCTACTTCCTTCATTTACTGCCTGCACAAGGCCTATTTCGGACATGAAATCTCGACCTGGGCTCTTTGTTAGGAGTTCCCAGGCCCTGCCACGTAGCAACCGATCAGAGGCGAAAAATAAGGCAGCCTAAATTTTGTGAGTGCTACCGAAGAAAGTCTTTCATTCCCTTTGAACACAGCGCTTAAAGTAAATTGAAATAAACCTGTTATGAACAAGAACGCGCTTACAACGCGAAGTTAGTCTCGCTTGCTTGGAGATTAGGTTATTGTACACGAAACAGGATTTACTACCTAAAGGGTTTTTGCTTCCTACTTTATCGAGGTCGATACTTTTTACTTGTTTCTGAATTGATTTAGTAAAGGGCCTCGATTCCAGAGAAATTACATCATTGCCAGAGATCAAAAAGAGGATTTACATGGCACGTCATTGTAATCATAAAAATAAACCGCGTGCTCATCACGAGACCATTTCCATACAATGAAAGTTTACAACAACCGACCATCGCAGTTTTGCTAATTAAGATTCTTTTTTTTTTGCGACTACTCAGTAGTGTTCACTTGTTCCAAAGTAATCAACGCTTTCAAGCGATTGAATTCGTGGATCGACACGTTTCGGAAAAGCTCTAAATTTAATCTTTCCTAAACATTCGTGGTTTCGATCACGCAACAAATCTTAGTCCCAGTTTCCACGGTCTCCGCAAGGAACGCCTGGCACAATGACCCCCCATTCGTGCGTAAAATACGACGAAAAAACCCCGGGGGGTACTTCCAAAAACCCTTACCCTATTTCAGACCAAAATCTGTGATTTCCCCTACCCTATTTCAGACCTAGAGCCCGGCGCGTGATCCGAGTGCGTGACAAGCTGCTATGGCACGTATACAGTTGGCGTAAACATTAAAAGGGAAATGGTCTTATCGCCAAATGATGAAAAAGTAGCTTCTTCTTAAAAACATGCCCAATTCAAGACTAGAGTGCACAAACCAGACCCTATTTCAGACCAAAACGGCTAAAAAACTATACCCTTTGGCGCCGCACACACCTATATAGCCTATATAAGGGAGCAACCCACCCCCCCCCCCTCCCCGGGGCGAAAAACGCGTTGCAAATTATGAGTCTCACTACTGACGCAAGCGAGACGAATTAGCACTCAAAGACTCAAATCTGGGAGTCTTGGAATCTGGAAATCTGGGAACAGTCGTCCTTTGACATTCGGTGTGTTGCTGTTTGGGCCCAGTTTGAAGCAGAAAATCGGCGCGAGTGCGAAAGAAGTTCTTTTATATCGCTCACGATGTACATAATGCTGACAAAAAAACTTACACTTTTATATGTCAGGGAAAAAATTTCTCACTCCAGAGATTTAGGGAAAAAAATTCTTACCAGAACTGATCACCCATAACCCCCTCCCCCACAAAAGTCACGTGGTCAACCACTGGGTGGGGGAAGAGGCGGATTTGACACCTTAGTAAACGTCATCACAGGGGCCCCACACAATCGGTGTGTGTAACCGATAAAGGTATTAAAATCACACTTTGTTGAATCCAAGAAAGAAGTGTGACAAAGTGTGAAAAGGATGTGGGATTTTACTAAAATCACATAATTATAAGTGTGATGACACTTCATAAAATTTTTTTGTGTGATTCACACTTTTACATCACACATGTACACACTTCTTATCTCACGTCTTAGAAGTGTGATTTGAAGTGCGAAAAAGTGTGATTTAAAGTGCGAATCACACTTCTAATAAAAAATCACATTTGTGATCACACTTTTTTTTGCATGGGTTGTTATTATATAGAAATGTACTTTATTTGAGCGATTTTGAAGGATTTTGAGTTTGCCGTTTACTGTTCCATATATAAGAAGGACCTTCTTATATATGGAACAGTACATTTTGTCAGCCCAGTTTTGTTAAATTTGATATACATCTTCATTACTGTCTTATACATTCGAAGATTTCTCTATCTGGCTAATACAGAGAAGCCATATACACACACCCAAAAGACACACACTAAACTAAACAAAGCATTCCTGAGTTTTACATTTAGATGTCCACGCAAAGTCAAAACTCTGGGCCCAAAAAATGGATCAATCTGCAATCCACTGCAATTGCAAGTTCAGAAAATCCCTGTCAGATTCTTCGCGCACGTTACACGTGGACCAACGTGAACTGTCACGTTTTTTAGCGACTCGTTATGTAATGTTTTGTTTGTACAGTGGACCTTTGATCTAATCGATTGACATTTGAAACTAATTAATGTATATTCACATAATCTGTGCATTTTTTTCGACTCAAGGAACATTCTTAAACATCGACACAGGGTTAGGTTGTACTGTAAATAGGCACAAAGAATATTAAAGCAATTTCAATTACAGTATACGACTCGAAGTTATTTACATGGCGCCCAACGTGAGGCAGTGATTCACGACATTGCGGAGAACATGACAGATGAAAATCTTCCAAGACTACGCGCAACGCGTGCGGGCAACAAGGGCGTAGTTACAAAACTCATCGCAGAAGCCGAAGGTATTCTACACGGCCCTTATCAACTCGAAGAAAAAACAAGGAATAGACTGGCGCCCATCGAAAAGGTTCTAAAGGAGAAAACGGAATTGATTCACGATCTCGACGAGAAAATTATTGCGGTTTGCAAGGTGGAGGAAATCGAAGGGGAAATTTAAAACGCCGAAGATTTAAAAATGCGTGTTATGGATGCGATCGAAACTATTTCACTAGGAACAACGCTCACAATTCCGCTTACTTGAAATGCATCATCTAACCTCGCTCAAGGAAGCAAAACCATTTTTATTCCTCCTTAATCACCTGGATCGTATTCAGCGAGTCCACAACAACCTCAGGGAAACTCTGGAACAGGAACAGAAATTCCGAAAGCAGCTCGAACAAAATTGCCAAAACTAACACTACGTAGGTTCAAAGGAGATGTAACACAATTTCGCCCCTTCTGGGATACTTTCGAAAGTGCAATTCACTCTAATCCTGGGTTGACAAAAATCGGCAAGTTCAGTTATCTAGTTTCGTTATTAGAAGGTTCTGCATCACGTGCAATTGAAGGTTTGCCTGTAACAGAAGAAAACTACGACTCGGCAGTGGAAATCTTAAAGAAGAGATTTGGAAAACCGCAACAGCTTATTTCCGCCCACATGGAAGGGCTTCTAAAACTTAACATCTGTGCTGTGGATAAGCCAAGTCAACTTCGTTTTCTGTACGACAAAATAAGCGTTAACACCAGGGGACTTGTAGCATTGGGAGTCAAGTCCGAGTAGTACGGTAGTTTGCTCATTCCAATCATTATGGCCAGACTTCCGGACGAAATACGAATACAAGTGGCAAGAAGTAAGTCTCAAGACGTTTGGGAGATCGACTCCTTGTTCGATCTTATTCAAAGTGAAATTGATGCAAGGGAGATGAGCGAGAAGATTAAAGCCGCGACCGAGCAAGTTAAGCGTCCATCGTCCTCAAAAACCCCGCTACCGACAGCTGGAACCTTTTTTGGTGCCACTTCAAACACAGAGTCGACTGTTCCAAAATGTGTTTACTGCATTGAAAGACATTTCTCTTCGTCTTGCAGCAAGGTAACAGATATCAACGCCAGGAAATAAGACATTTTTAGACGCGACAAAAGATGTTTTATGTGTTTGAAGAAGGGACATTTAGTTGATCAGTGTGACAAGAGTTATAGAAATTGCAAGCGAAGACATCATCAATCGATCTGTCCAGCAAAATCACCCGGTGAATCACTGAATTCTCATCCTCCACCTCCCGAGGAAAAATCGTCTCAAAGCAAACCGGAGACCCAAGTCTCAAACAACACAACAAGAGTCAATACGACTAATACAGAAACCCCAACAACTCATTTAACCACTGCGACATCGAGAAGCAAGGGGAGTGTTTTGTTGCAAACCGCTACAGCTGTAGCAACCAATGAAAATCAGAGCAAATCGGCGACCGTGCAGATTCTGTTCGACAGCGGCAGTCAAAGATCTTACATTACCGACAGTTTAAGAAGGAAATTAGGTGTGAAGTCAGCGAACATCGAAACCTTGCATCTGAATACGTTCGGAGATTACACTTATCGAAAACAAAGGTGTGAAGTCGTCACTTTGCCGATTCGAGCCATCGACAGCGAATATGTTGCAATTACAGCGCTCAATTTCCCGATTATTTGCTCACTGCTAACGGAAAGAGTGAACCTACAAGATCATCCGCATTTACAAGAATTAGAGTTGGCTGACAGTGCTGAATTGGTTCAGATCATAACTGGGACTTTGTTACAGGGGAAACTATTCGAGGAGATTTTGATCCTACTGCAGTTAGAAGTAAGCTGGGATGGCTTCTCTCTGGACCCACCAACAATTCACAAAACGAAACTAATGTCGTTTCCAATTTGGTCATATCGGGCGAGCCGCAATTTTCAAACGGAGCAAAGGAAAACGACGAGATGGCCCACATGCTGAAAAGATTCTGGGCCGTTGAAAGCCTAGGAATTATTGACACCTACTGCGAAAGCCAATTAGTCAAACGAAAGGGAGAAATCAAGTTCAATTGTAGTCATTATGAAGTCGGCCTGCCTTGGAAGGGTGAGTGTTTATCACAATCTAACAATTATGGGATGTGTGTAACGAGATTATGACCGTTGCATTCGAAATTGAAGAGTGAGCCCAAAAGTGCTGAAGGAATACGACAATACCATTCAAGAGCAAAGAAAGAACGGGATTGTCGAAATCGTGCCGGAGACCGAAGATCAAACGCCAGAGGAAGGCAAACTTAGCACGAGACGAATTCACTACTCACCACATCACGCAGTCCTGCGAAGAGATCGCGAAACAACAAAGGTTAGAATCATGTACGATGGCTCTGGGAAGAATTGTGAGGACGAACGCTCTCTTAATGACTGTTTGGAAGTTTCCTCACATCTTTGAAATGCTAACCAGGTTTCGCTGGAACTGCGTCGCTCTAACCGCGTACATCGAGAAGGCGTTCTTCATGGTCGGAATCAAATCGGAAGACCGAGACATGCTACGCTTTCTGTGGTTCAAAGATCCGCTTGCTGAGAAGCCAGAAACCAATGAATATCGATATAATCGCTTAGTTTTTGCTCTGAGGCCATCCCCTTCTATCCTTGGCGAAACTATCGCACATCCCATCAAGTCCCTGTACGTGGACGATCTTTCAACTGGAGAAGAGAACGACGAGAACGGCTTCGTTGTTTATCAGAAATCGAAGAAGGTTATGGCTAGCGGTGGTTTCAACCTGAGAAAATGGAACTCGAATTCTCAAACACTGTTGAAATCGATTGAAACCTTCCAGAGTTCGCAAGAACAAAGGGGGTCGGTGGACCATGCTACTGCAGAAGATGATGAGTCGTACGCTAAATCGTCAATCACCCCCAGAAATTCTGAAACGAAGAACGACACATTGGTTAAGGTTCTTCGAATGAACTGGGACACTGTCGAAGACAACTTTTTCTTCAACGTCACTGATTTGTGCGATTATGGAATGTCACTGAGGGCGACCAAGCGTTCTGTTTTGAAGTTGTCAGCAATGGCATTTGACCCGATGGGATTTCTCACTCCGTGCACTGTGGAAATGAAAATTCTATTTCAGGAACAATGTGTCGACAAGATCGACTGAGATAGCGACCTACCAAAACATCTTCTTGGAACCTGGAATTCATTACTGAACGAATTGAAGTGTTTGAACAATGTCGAAATACTCCGCTGTTATTTCCCATCAAGGCCTGTGCAATTCGAGCTTCATGGATTTAGCGACGCCTCTAACCGTGCTTACGCAGGAGTTGTTTACATCCGATCACTGTATGAACGGTGGAACGGACCTGAATTTCTATACCAGCTGGAGCCAGAATGGCCAACAAACGATTCGACCCATTTTAAAGATGAAGAAGCGCTTAAACAAGCTGCAAAGAATGCAGTTAATATCACTCATTCCTTGGTGAACAGTAGAGCGAACGAACCGACTACCCAAAAGGTTGACAATTTAATTGACATCACGCGATTTAGCGATCTGACGAGATTGCTTCGCGTGACCACCCTCGTCGTTAAATTTGTACACAAGCTGAAGAGCACAGTGCGAACAAAGTCAAATTCTGGTAGTGGAACTGAAATTCTTACTGTCCTAGAGTTAACTAATGCTGAGGAACTTTGGATTAAGGCAGTGCAAGCGTCCTCATTTGACGAAGAAATCAAGTGCCTACGCGATCACAGGCAAAACAAGACTGTGCCGCCGACTTACGTCTCACAATTTGGATTATTTCTTGAAAATGGTATTGTTAAATGCAAGGGTCGAATGAACAATGCCGAATTACTGGGGAGCGCAAGAAATCCAATTCTTTGGCCAGCTAAGCACGATTTTGTTCCATTGGTTATCAAGAAAGTACATGCATCAGTGAAACACTGCGGATTGAGAGACACTCTCACTACGATAAGAGAGCCACTTTGGATCTTGAGAGGTCGCGAAGCAGTAAAGCGAGTGATCAAAAATTGCATGATTTGTTTGCGAATCAGTGGAATGCCGTACAAGTCTCAGTCAACTCCTGATCTTCCGAGTGAACGAGTGTCTGAAGATCCACCCTTCACGCATGCAAGATTGAATTTTGCGGGACCACTAAATATTGTCAATGAACACGCGAATGGATCAAGCAAAGTTTACGTGTGTTTGTTTACATGTGCGTCGACCGGGGCTATGTACTTAGAGCTATGTAAAAGTCTCGACTTTCAAGATTTTCTGTTGGCCTTCAGACGATTTGCTAGTCGAAGAGGACTCCCTTCGACTATTACATCAGACAACGCAAAAACTTTCAAATCTTCGAGCAAGGAGATCAGAAGGATCACAAGATCCAACGAAGTGTTGCGTTACCTTGTTAATCAAAGAATCTCCAGGAACTTCATCATTGAAAGGGCTCCCTGGTGGGGACGTTTCTGGGAGCGCTTAGTCCGAAGTGTCAAGACACCTTTGAGGAAAGTGCTCGGTCGAGCAACTCTGAATTTTGAACAATTGCGAACTTTAATGGTGGAGATCGAGTCAGTGATCAATGCAAGGCCGATCACCTACGTGTACGACGACACGAATTCAATCTCTTATCCGTTGACGACTTCAGAACTTGTTTATGGGCGACGTGTCACATTAACACCAAATAGCGCGCATCACGAAATGATAAGTACTCACCAGTCATTGACAAGAAGAGCTCGCCATCACAAGAATTTACTACAGCAAGTTACAAAACAGTGGAAAAAGGAATATCTCACTAGTTTACGTGAACAGTCAAATGCGAGAAACAAAAGAAATGCCGTTCAGGAAATCTCAGTAGGAGATATTGTGTTGCTCAAACACGATTCAACGAATAGAATTCGGTGGACGATTGCAAGAGTTGAGGAACTTATTCCCGGAGCTGATGGAAGGTTCGTGCTGCGATCGTCAAAGTGGGAAACAGCGACAGGCGACCGACCTATTTTCGGAGGGTCATACAACATTTGATTCCAATCTAGGTTAAGTTAATTACAAACAATGAAGACACGCGGCTTATTGCAGATGTTTCAAATCAAGCTGTGCGACCTCGACGCACTGCGGCTGTGATAGGGGAGATCAGCCGTCGACAAATGAACATTGTATAGTCTATTATAAATATTTTTTTGATAAATCCGGACATTGAAGTTTCTCACGGCGTGAATACACTTTGGGGAGTGTCAGTTTCTTTGCGCACGTTACACGCGAACCCACGTGAACTGTCACGTTTTTTAGCGACTCGTTATGTAATGTTTTGTTTGCATAGTGGACCTTTGATCTAATCGATTGACATTTGAAACTAATTAATGTATATTCACATAATCTGTGCATTTTGTTTTTCGACTCAAGGAACATTCTTAAACATCGACATCTGGGTTAGGTTGTACTGTAAATAGGCACAAAGAATATTAAAGCAATTTCAATTACAGTATACGACTCGAAGTTATTTACAATCCCTTAAAATAAATAATCGCTCTTATTCCAAAAATTCGAGCAAAATTATTTGCATAATCTGCCAATGTCTCAACCCATTCAACCCTTTATTCAGTATCTTTCTTCCATGATGGCCACATGTACAAGACAAAAGTTTACAGCTATACACTAGTAATAACGATATGTGCACTTTCTTATCTTGAAGCACAATATATAACGACTGAAATACAACGATAGCAGTCTGACCATAAGTTTAATTATGCACTATCTTGAGTGCCTATTTTTAAAAGTGAATAATTTTTGTACTCACATAGCACGGAAATTTCCACTTCAGATGTCAAAGAATTAGAGGTAGTAGTTATTGACAGCCGGTATGTTTCTTCATTGACTGATCTTGGAACGGCAAGTATTGTTAGTACTGCTTCAGTGTCTGACATAGATGCTTCAAACTGATTCTCGTAGCCCCCTGTAATAATCCCTTTGCTGGACCCGCTCCTGGTAGCAACAAACTTCCCCGATCCACCAGTAACATTGGAGATACTAGTAAAAGCATGCGTTTGACCGTCAAGGTTATAACTCCACTGAACAGTGAGGTTCTGACCTTCCAACACAGTCGATGGGTTTGAAGGCACAGCGATAAACTCAGGTAACAACTCTACAATGAACAGCAACATTACGTGAGCGAAACAAAGTTTTACAGAAACCTAAAAGCCCACAACTTATTGTGCTTGACAAACTGTTTCCACACTAGCTGGATGCTTACGAGCATTCTCCGAAAATAAGAGAAGTTGAAGAAAAAGTCGAAAGAAGAAAGTAACAAACGGATTCATCGCAAACATATTAACTTTCACTTCCTCATTAATATTATATTGTTTACCATTGAAGTTGGGGTCAGTATATCATGTAAGACTCCATAATATGTCCCGAACATATCTTGCTTTTTGGATCACTCACCGTTTTTCTGGGTACGGAGTGATCTTTCTACCGACGCTCAAAAATAAGTAAATAGACGCGATGGCTCTTCAAGACTCGACGAGGACGACTCGACTTCACTTTATGACCCGACGATTATTACTCTATGATACACGATGACTCGCCGAGGATGGATCACTCACCGTTTCTGGGAACGGAGTCATCTTTCTACCGACGCTCAAAAATAAATAAATACACGCGAAGGCTCCTCAAGACTCGACGAGGACGTCTCGATATCACTTTATGACCTTACGAGGATTACTCTATAACACAGGATGACTCGCCGAGGATGACTCGATGAGGCACCATTACTTGGCGAGAATTACTCCATGAGACACGTCGACTCGACGAGGACGACTCAGCGAAGGATGCATACATCCTCTATGTAGTAGTAAAATATGTTGTGCTGATAGGTCAGTGTCTTCTTTTTCGCAATATTATGGAAAACACAAGAGGAACAAGAGAAGGGAATTTAAAAACAGTTAACAGCAAAAAAGAAACAATAATGCAATTATCTAGAGGAATACAACAGGTTGAAGAAACCTTGCTCATCAAGAAAAACAATCGTCTCTTGGTGAAGAAACCATGTGTATCAAGCGTGAAGAAAATGAGTTAACTAATCAGAAAACAGATGAAGTTATTACAGACATCCAAACATGTCTAAGAAGAAAGCAAATAGATGAAAGGATATTAAATACAGGCTTATTGAAGTTCTCCTAGAAAGAAAATTCCAGACACCAGAAGTCCAGTGACAGATATATTATAGAAGAAAACTGAAGTTAAAGCCAAAGAGTGAACCATCTAGAGAATGCAAAGACATGTGCTCTCAAAGGACTTTAATGCCTGAAGGAAAAAAAGTTCATGAAGACCTTTCACTTGTCTGATTTAAAATGAGTAGGCAAAGTCTTCCCTGCATCATTTATTATCTAATGTACTTTCAAATAAATTCTAAATAAATTAAGCAGCTGATACAGCAGAACCTGAGTTTGAACTAAAGGGTTAATTACAACAGCATAAGTTTAAACGCCTAACCTGTCTTATTTCTGCTTGGTTACATGCACATGTAAGATTGTGAAATATGTATGACTCCGATTATTGATGACTATGTAGGAGAATACTACCAAAAAAGGAACAATCAATCGATAATAAGCAAAAAGGCTTTTTTGCACCTCTCTTCTCATTGCATGTATTTTTTTTATCTAAGAGGACTTTGTGCATCTTTTTGTATATGAAAAGATACTGTGTTAGCAAAAACAACGAAAAAAATGACACTTGGTTAGAAAAAGGTCTGATTGGCAGGCAATGATAGCTCATGATGACTCGCTGAAAATGGGTTTGGATGGCTCGCTGAGAATAGGTTCAGATGGCTCGCTGAGAATAGGTTCAGATGGCTCGCGGAGAATGGGTCCTGATGACTCGCTGAGAATAAGCCTGGCTTTGACTCGCTGAGGATTCAGGGTCTTGACTCGCTGAGGATTCTAAGTCTTGACTCGCTGAGGATTCTGGGTCTTGACTGGCCA